AAATATTAAACAAACTGCTTTAAGCATCTTCACTGTAAGAAAAACTCTTTAGCTACAAAAATCCTTCAGAGAAACATTTTCTCGTTATGTTTGATTAATGATAAAACAGGCGGCAGCAGGAATATTTTGCGCTGTCTCTTTAATGGTTTCTCTTTCACGTCTTTTGATTCTCAACTCGTTTGTTTATTACACAAATGGGGGTTAATATAAATAATCACGAAACACCGCGTTTTGACACCTATTTGACCATTAAAGCGCTCACGTTAATGACTTTAGATGTCTGCGCTCCTCTGCTCGTCTCAGTGTGCGAATGAGAGCGAATGCTGACTGGCCGCATGCTTCTGGCTGCGTGTGCGTGCTGCACACACACATTCGCGCTTTTAAGAGCAACGCGTGCACACCTGGAAAGGTGGCGGTATATGATGCATATAATCGTTTATCTTGATTAATGCTTTTTTATAATCGTTTGAAATCGAAATCGGATTTTCGATTAATTGTACAGCCCTATATAATAATGGAGCATTTTTATGCCTTTTTCTACCTCAATACTTATCCTCTCCCGCGCCCCCCTTGTGAACTCTGGCGCCCCCCTTAGGGGGGCGCGGACCACAGGTTGGGAACCACTGGTCTAGAGCATGGTAACCCAACGTGCTGACCACTGGACCACAATGGCGATGCAATACTGGTGTGGCCGGAATGATACTTATGATTACCCTGCAGGATACATGTTGCTCATGAGGCTGCGAGACAATAAACAAGAAGAGCGGAGCTGCGGCAAAATAATGGATAAAAAGAGTGAGGATATGGTCAAATAAATAAATATATTTAAAAAAAGTGCGACTGCTGCTTTCTCCGTTTGCCATGCTGGAGAGAAACAGTCTGCACAAAAGAGGCGCAGAGTTGGGGTCATTGACTACAGCTCTCATCTGATTGGCTGAAAGGTACGAGTAGTCCTGACTCTGGCAGGAAAGTCTCAAAACACACACACACGTATCCAGGGGGAGTCGTACGTGAAAGAGGATTTGCACATTCTCATTCAGGATGAACTCGCAAGTTTTAAACATTCAAAACTTTTTGTACACTCCTATACATTTGCAAATGGTGTTTTGCATTTGTGAAACGTATTTTATGAAAATGTATTTTTATTTTGTGCACGTGACATTTTTTGGTGAATATAAATAAATATTTTACGCACGTGAATTTGGTTTTATGCAGATGAATTTGGCTACGCATGTGTACATCGTGTCTTTTGCGTGAATTAATATTGAGTCTATTCTGACTCCATACACGTGAGACAATGAAATATTTGTCATTACATAACATATATGAAATATAATGTCATGTATTAGAAACTGCTTGTGATTTAATATATTATTTAAATTTTTTTTATTGCATCTAAATCACTAAATAATAATTAAATTTAGTAATTGAATTATCTGGGGTGACAGTGGCTCAGTGGTTAGCATTGTGGCCTCGCAGCAAGAGTTTGAGTCCCGGCTTTTAGCATGTACTCCCCATGTTGGCGTGGGTTTCCCCCACAGTCCAAACACATGCTCTATAGGGGAATTGGGTGGGCTAAATTGTCCGTAGTGTATGAGTGTTTGTCCTGTTCCTCCAGATTGAGGGTTGAGCGTTGGGCTGACTACCCACCTCATAAAAAGGTTAGAGTAGGTTGCATTCAGCCATGTTGCTTTCTGCAAGCATTACATTTAATTAAAGAGTCAGTAAATTACATCTCAAATCAGTGTTCTGTGTCTAATAGTTTAGTGGCCAGCAGCAGTGTAATAATCAGAATAATGCACATCCAGATGGTGGTTATCGCAGAATAAACCCCTCAGTCTTCTATAACAGCTGCTGATAAACCTGTCAGGCTTTATTCTGTGATAAAACACCAGCTGGATGTGCTTTATCCCTTAGGTAATACGCAGATATCTGTGTGATTTACCTTGAGGTAATTTCCTTCTTTATCAGACACCAGAACCATGAATGTGATCCCAGCCTGCCTGCAGTGCTCAAGAAGAGCTTCCTGTGATTGAAACACACACACACACACACACACACACATTAATATATATCACAACTCAAACACACACACACACACACACAGACCATAAACATACATACATGCATACCATAATACCATAAAACACACAAAAGAAGACCTTATATAGACACACACACACACACACACACACACACACACACACACACATTTACAAG